TTTCTGTAATAATTTAGAATTAGAACTTGTTTACTTTTCATTAAATTCTATTAAATAGACTATATACTACAAGATATAAATATTTACATAGTACGACTGAGTATACACAGTCGAGCGATTCGATACTGTTCGGCAAACTTTTTAATTAATACAAAGTTACCATAATCAAATATCTCTATTTAACTAATTTCTTTTATAACAATTAAGAATACAAAAGTCAAGGTGAGTTCTGAGAAGTTTCTAATAATGGATTTTTATAGAAGTTTATTATTTTATAAGATACAAGTGTTTTTTTTTTAGAAGTAAAAGAATCAATTAAATTGAATGCTTCTAGGTAACGTATCCACATATTATGGACACCAGATTTTAAGTTACACTTCAGAAATACGACTGTGAAAACTGTATCCAATTTGGTGAAGTAATTTTTGCGTGATGTTGGAACCAATATTATCATCGTGTCAGCCTTTAACTGTCCACTGCTGAACATAAGCCTCTCTCCTGGGGGCTTTGTTGGTAGTTGCCACACTTGGCAGGCAGATTGGTAACCGTAGTCAGGCTTTAGAGATATTTTAAATGGGACGCTGCTGCCCATCCTTCGCCCTCCCTTAGTCGACTCTTACGTCATCCACGGGATAGGAAGGGCCTGTTCTATGCCAAGACCACACAGCTACAAATAACGTCACAGGAACAAACATACAGACATACAAACTGTTTTAAATTTTATAACTTTGACTTCTATTACTTTTATTAAGATCTCATGTACAGATAGCATCTAATTATAATTTTGTTATAATAATAAAATAAAATATGAATAATCTAAGGACAAGACTTTATGGGTGAAAATGGTATAGTAACCCCGTCTGAGCTAACGGGTTACGCTGGCGGAGCACCAGTGAAGATTGATGAGAATGAAAACAGGCCAGTTAGCCCATCATGATGAATTCATCAGGAATTAACCATGATAGTTTCCAGATGGAACCGCGAGGAGGTCGACCTGGTTGGGTATATTGCTAGCAATGGAATTTTCAGTTTCCATTACTAACAATCCCTTTTCTTCCTAGGACAAGACGTTAGGACACATGATGATGAAGGTAAAATAGAAGGAAGGAGAGGAAAAGGGAGATCAAGGCATAGTTACAGCAGGCAGATAAAGGAAAAAGTTAGTATCGTGCCATATCAAGAAGTGAAGAGACTTGCTGAAAATCGTAGTGAGTGGCAAGAGCTCCATCGACAAGAGCGCTGCTCTTAAATAGGAAATGAATAAAAAATTAAGAACAAGACTTTATGAGCGGTAAGACAGTTAATGTATTTTGTGAGTTTATTCAATAAAATATAAATTGACAATTTTGAAATTGGAAGAAACAGAACATATCAGCGTGTCGATATCTGTGGAAGTGTAACGAACGGGTCGAGTATTGATTGAGCCAGATTTTAAGAGACCCTCACGTAGTGCCCACTGCCCGCAGTATATATTTTTAACATTCCTTCTAAAGCTATGCTCCCATTAGTTACGTTTTATGTTACCAAATTGCTAGATTCAAAGTAGTTACATACTAGAAATACTTATGTAACATTGGGGTCGTTTCTAAGAAGCCATTTTATAAACCTATTTCTAAAATGTAAATTTTATTTCAATAGTGTAATATAATTTGTTATGGAACATTAAAAAACTGAATTTAATTCAGTCGTAACTGAAATTTATTATACATTTAATCTATACTGATTTTTGGAATAAAGGTATCTCTGTAGTCTGGGAGTGAAATTTTAAATTCAGAGATAGAGAATTGTGCTTCGGAATCGACCCCATTAAAGTTTAAACGTTTACTATCTTATTATAAAATGTAAAATAATCTTTAATTTGCATTTTGTCCGTACCTATTAAATTTAATGTTAGAAATAAACAATTTATAAGAGCAATACTTCAGGATTTATGTAATACTAGTGATCTGGTCTGACTTTGCATGGGTAGATAGTATTTTTTTGAAAATAATAAGTAAACCGTGTTCATCATTATGTAAAAACATGATGATGAAGTCATCATATTAGCTTATAACTGTCAACTGCTGAACATAAGTCTCACCTGTGGGAGTTTTGCCAGTAGATGCCATGCTTGGAAGGCGGATAAAACCGGCATTTAGGCTTTAGAGATATTTTAAGAGGGACGCTGCTGCCCATCCCTCGCCCTCCCTTAGTCGGCTCTTACGACACCCACGGGAAAGAAAGGGGTGGCCTGTTCTATGCCGGGACCACACATAAACCGTATTACTCGCTGATAATGTAGCTTTCTACTGGTGAAAGAACTTTTAAAAATCAGTAATGTAATTTTTTAATTTATCCATTATAAACAAATAATCAAATTTTTCCTCTTTATAAGAAAAACCGTCGCAAATTATTTATTTAGTGATTTTAACTTCATACCAGAGGGGGACTTTGTAAAAAAGCCGTTTGCTTGGGTACCTCTGTCCCATTTGTGTTTCAACCGTGAAGCAGTTGTGTTTGCATGGCTGTGTTTCGGTTTGAAAGGTGGGATATGGTAGTGAATTTACAAGATACAGAAGAATAATACCTGCCTCAGGAATGGCAACGCATGGGGAATATCATGGGCGAAACAGTATACTCTGTTATGTCCATGGTACTGCTCATGTCTATAGGTGATAGTTACCACTTTCCATCAGGTGGGCCGTCAGCTTGTTTGCCATTCTAAGTTGTATAAAAAAATATGTTTAACTTGTGTTTGCCCACTCATCAATTACCTTTTTTTTTATCTAGTCTAGACTGTAACTAATTCAATTTTCGTTAACTATATATAGTAGCTTTAAGTTGGCATACTGTTTTTATATTTATCTTATATATAAAAATCTTGTGTCACGGTGTTTGTAGTCGAACTGCTGTGTAACTACTCGACCGATTTTTATGAATTTTTTATGTATAATTTGGTAGATATGAGAATTTATATAGCAGAACATTGTTTGCCGTATCAGCTAGTTTTTATATATATAACTATTTTTATCGTCATTATCACTACATAGTATAAAACAAAGTCGCTTCCCGTGTGTCTGTCCCTATGTATGCTTAGATCTTTAAAACTGCGCAACGGATTTTGATGCTGTTTTTTTTAATAGATAGAATGATTCAAGAGGAAGGTTCATATGCATAATACATTATGCATGTATTGAAACACTAATGATTTTAGAGGTTTCTAATGTGATATCGTAATCTAAACAAATTTTTTTGCGATTAAATTGTAAACCAGAGGACTGTACAAAAGTTGTTTGCTTGGGCATCTCTCTCCCATTCATGTTTCTACCGTAAAGCAGTTGTTTGCATGGCTGTGTATCGGTTTGAAGGGTGGGATATGGCAGTAAATTTACAAGGTACAGAGGAATAACACCCGAGTCCTCAGGTATGGCAACGCATGGGGAGTATAATGAGCGGAACAGTATAGTCTGTTATGTCCATGGTACTGCTCATGTCTATAGGCGACGGTTACCACTTACTTAGGCCTTTAGCTTGTTTGCCATTTTATGTTGCATAAAAGAAATAAGCGCTGGCTGAACCCTAAGTGATAGATCAAAATAATGTACTACAGTATTATACAACTTAAGAAGGTCTACAAAAATAACAACTATTACTTAATAAAAAACATGCTTTTCAGCACGACAACGTAATCCGTTCTTATAAGTACGTTACGATAAATTAAATATATATATATATATATATATATATATATATATATATATATATATATATATATATATATTTGTATTCTGTAGTATATTTGGTATTAGCATTCGGTATCACCCGTGCGAAGCCAGGGCGGATCGTTAGTTATAAATAATTATTAAGTTATTCTAGATGTAAACTTCTCTCAGAAAAATAAAATAATATTAGTATAGAAGATTGTCATTATTTATTCGTTGTAATTTTTTTTTTCTTTCATTTTAAGCAACTTGTATTTTTCTAAGGTATGTGGCGAATTAGGTTAAGCGATCGTGTCGCTAGTGCTGAACCGATTTTGATAATTCCTTTGCAATTGTTAGTATTTATTTCCGTTTTGATCTCATAATTTTTGTGACAATTGGAGTTGTCTTTCTCGGAGTAAATGTTGTTTATTGTGAAGCAAAATCTATTAGAGGGTTTTTTTAACGACGAAGGTGGCAAAAGGTCCGTGTGATAATAAAGACTGATACAAATTCTTTCTGAATTTAAATATTTTCCATTTTAGCAGAGACACATTGATGAGTTGTTGTGATAATGACATATTAAGACTAGCTCTATCCCACAGCTTCGGTTGTGGTTGTCTCATTATATTAAATAGTCTATACCTTCCTCAAGAAATGAATCATAAAATGTAAAAAGACTTTTGATATACCATACAAGTAGTTCCAAACGTTCACGTTCACGTTCAAACAAATAGACAAACAAATTCTTCAGCTTTATTATATCAGTATAACCGTAGTACTTGCAAGCCACAACAATGTTATTTTCAGATTTTTTTAATATAAATTTATCTGACTATTATATTAATATGTATTTTTTTTATATATATATATATATATATATATATATATATATATATATATATATATATATATATATATATATATATATATATATATATATATATATATATATATATATATATATATATATATATATATATTTATATATATATATTTAGATCTTTCAATATCAATCACTTCCCATAACAAAACTCAATCTTTCAATTTATTATATTACAGTTACATTTATTAAAGTACTTTATATTAATTGCCGTGCGCTAATTGTTCCATTTCCCCGAAGAACAAAGTCAGAGTTACCGCAAATTCCATTTTCAAAAATGATTGACTATTAAATGTCAACACAACGAACACCCCACTTAATCGCTGAAACAACCCTTTCAAGTAGGAAAGAGTCAATTTGCTTGGTAAATCGAAAGTGATACACAGTCCAAATATCCCAGGGGCTGAAATTCTAGCGATCAATCTTCAAGCAGGTTCTTTGCAACTGCAGTAGTACGAGTATATAGTCCATACTTCAGGCAAAACTCGTCCGCCGCACGGCATTTGACGTCGCGACACCGTAGCAGTAGCCCGCCAACATATCGCAGGTGGGTACGCCCCTTTATACGATAGCAGTGTTCCATTTTTAAAATTTGAATTTTTTATTTTTAAAAAATAAATATAAATACTCTTTTTTTTATTGACTTCTTTTATATGGCTTTGAGTAAAAGTTTTGTCAAGTTTCCATTTGAAACGCGAAGACGTGCTACGAAGTTGCTCCGTTTAAGTTGTTAAAGTTTAACTTGACTCTTGGGAAACGAATAAAAATTATTAAGATACATTTGCAGTGCTTTGTACTGCATAAATTAAAAATCATTTCGTTTTTATATTTTTAATTAAGAAAACAAATGTAATTTGGCCAATTTATAAAAAACTGCAATAATTTCTTATCAATCGAGTATTCGATGATACATAAAAATATTTATTATTTTATAATAATAGTATAGTACATTTAATAATTAAACAATTAAAAACTTACTCTAAATTGCTTATAAAAATGGAGAATTATAAGAAATAAAATAGATAAGTGTTTTATTTATTTTCTTTAATTGTATATTTCTCTCTTATTGTTTATATTTCATTGTTTGTGTTAATCGTGTAAAATTACTAGATTTTTCACTATTGACTTATAACTGCGTACTCCATAAGTATGTTTGAATTCGAATTGTTAAATGTTGCGTGATGTTAAACGGCTCTTACCATTCATTTTACCATAAAACAAACATTTGCACAGACCCCATGGGGATTTATTCTACTTTGTAAAAGCGGACGTCAGACTTAACAGCTAATATTTGTATGGTAAACTCTTACATAATAGACGAGTTAGAATGGGGTTCAGCAATTAGATTTCGATATTTGTGTTATATTGTGTATTAAATTTCTATTTAATATTAATTATACTGTTTAGTATAGTACTACACTTAGTTCTAGTAAAATAATAAACAAAAAAAATATTTTATTCCACTAAGTGACAACTTTCAATATTAGCAATTTATTTTATTTTTATATTTCTTTTGTTCGAAATTTATTTTCACTTAAATCTAATCAAAATAAAATTGTATTAATGTATATCTATTATAGACTCTTATGATACCTTATTTAAAAAAATATTATAATTAATATTTCGGAAAAAATATATCAAAATAAAAAATATAGATTAAATTAATTAACAATTATCAAAATAAGCAAAATATAGTGCAATTATTTATATTAAAAAAGACAACGATATATGTGTTTATAATTGACTAATAATAAATTTATAATTGATTATATCTACGTACCATTAATGTCATCGTATATTCTATTGTTTGGCATTTGAATAAAAAATCTTTTCGAGAATGGGTACATTTTTCGTAGATTGAAATTGGGCGTTATTACTTTGTTCCATTGCGTAACAATTATTATAAAAATTGTTACGCAAATTTCTTTGGCACGTTAAACAAAAATAGTTTAATATGTTTATTTATATTTATTAAAAAATATATTTAAATAAAAAAAGAATTTAACATATGATTTATTTTATCAATAATTGTGAGGAATATAATGTGATTATTAAGTGGTACAGTGATAAACAATGAACTTTAATCGAATTTGGGGTCTGTGTTTACTTTAGTTTAAATGTTTTGACCTGAAATTGTTTGATGGAAGTTTGGGCGTGGCTGCATGCTGTACTGGGCACCTTAGAGAGTAAACTTTTGTTTCAGTATCTATGTAATCTAATTTGGTTCTTTGCAATTACGGACGGTATGATTTTAGGTAGAATGTTGAAATTCAATAATAATAATAATTTGTTTTGATAATATATTATTTGCAAAAAAAAAAAAATTTTATGATTTACGTCGTCCGTTACTTATAAATAATAACAAGAATATATTGATATATTGTCAATATTTATAATATATGATAAAATATATCTGGTTAGCATTAAGTCGAATTGTATGTAAATTTTGGGTACATGTCTTGAATTTTTTTTTAATATACTAATTACTTGTACATTAATAACATACTCTTCTTTCAAAGTTTGTTAAAAATAGTATTTACTCTTTTTAATAATAACAATAGTATGTCATAATCATTACAATAATGCTGTGAACTCACGAATTAATTCGTTTCAAAATAAATTGGAAAACGCAAATACGTTATCAACAACATACAAATATAATATATCTGTGTAAAATCACACTCAGTTGCCCAATTAGTACAGTTTGATAGCAATGTAGTCTCACAGCGACGGATGTTAATGAAAATTCTCTTTGATTGCAGGTGCATCAAAGCAGTGCGGCAACTAACGAGTGAGTTACAATTCTTCATTAAATACAGCTTAATTTGAATTCTGTACAAATACCTTCAGTATTTACTACCTCGGAATAGTATATTTTTGGTTAAGGATTCCAGATGGGACTTTTTATTTCTACCTAAATGTCAAATGTTAATTTGTGAAATTTTATGAAAAATTTAAGTTTCTTTTTTTTATTTAACGAACGGTACTACGAAAAGTATAAAAAAGAAGTCATATTTGTTTCTATAGTATGTTTTATTGATCTATATATTACTGTATACGATTTACAAATAACAAAACTGCCAAAAACATTACCCAACTTTTTCACACCCATTTTATTTTTCCCAAAAACTTCTTCAACAATTTCATTACTACAAGATATTGCAAACACGAAAATTTTTACCCAAAATTGCGAAAAATACTCGTATACCCAATTTGGCAACGCTGAGGAAGGAATCCCATAGGATTCGCTATAAGATGTGAAAACAGGAAAATCTTTTAAAGGGAATTTTCTACCTGAAATTTTTTCTAAAGATTTTTTTTTCTACATTTATTCAAAAATGGCAGAAATATTTGACTTACATATATAATGAATTAAATAAGTAAATTTAATATTAATTACGAGTAGGTGCGTCGTGTTAAAATTGGTTGTTCAAATTATTTTGTCACTTTATGACTCATTTTTCTCGGGGATAAAATATTCAGTCTCATTAGTGGAATACTCCGTTCAAAGGATGATGATTATTCAAATATCCTGTAATCGTAAATTTATAGAGATTATATTATTTTTCTTTTCTTTTCTTTGTTTTTTTTGGCAAATATCTTGACGAAGAAATGGCATAGTCAAACGCATTAGTCGACTATTATCGTTGTGGTAGAGTATCAGTCGATTTTTCCGTATTTATGATTTGCTACGCTCATGATATCGGTTTTTATGACATAGGGAAGGAAAAGAAAGGTGACAATTTTATCCTTATGTCGTCATTATTCCGATAATGCAACACAATTGTGCGATACCAGCCTTATATGTATATGTTGCAATCTATTGACAAGAATTTACTTTAACAGTTGGCTAATTCATTATCAATTTACCATATCATCATCATATTAGCCTTAACTGTTCACTGCTGAACATAAGCCTCCCCTTGGGCATTTTGCCAGTAGCCACCACGCTTGGCGAATTAGCAACCGCAGTTAGGCTTTAAAGGTGTTTTAAGAGGGATGCTGCAGCCCATCCCTCGCCCTCCCTTAGTCGCTCTTACGACACAAACGGGAAAGGAAAGAGTGTCTTATTTTATGCCGGGACTAAACGGATAGTTGACGTTATCAATTACTCATCATTATCATATCATTTAAAAGGCCGGCAGCACACCTGCAATGCCGCTGGTGTTGTGGGTAATCATGGGCGGCGGTAGTCACTTACCATCAGGTGAGCCGCATGTTTGTTTGCCCCCTGTGTTGTAAAAAAAAAATTATTGATGGATAGCTAATTATAATTTATATTGATATTTTAAGGTTTATAAATTGTAACATAATAGACCATCCTGATTTAGTGTACTATCTCGATATATAGACAAACCAACAAGCAATCTTTCCATGTGTCCACTTAAACTTACATTTAATTCACCAGGCATGGAAAACACCAATAAGAAATAAAATTAATTCGAGTGTCAGTGGTAGTCTCGTCTCCTGTTACACTGGATTCTTATATGTTCGGAAAAATGTAAGTAGTATTAGTCGAATAGGATTGAAAAGTGCTGCCGAGGTCCAAAAGGGGCGCCGAGAGGTCATCAGAAAAGGATCGCATCAAATTCGACTTACTTTTTCGTCGTCAAAATATGTGCTGGGCGTAGTTAACATTTTACTCTTTTTTCGTCGTTAGGCGAGTGTGTGTGTGTGTGGGGGGGAGGGGGTAAAATATTACCCAGAGGCGTCAGGTAGGTGCCGACCTTGAAAGTGAGCATATCGAATGTTAAGTTCACCGCAATGGCAAAAGTTGACAAATGTCAGAAGCATTTCCATTAGGGATTATAGTCGTGAATATATTTACTTTTTATTTATACGCACTAGCGCCTTTTACTCTTTTGAAGTGAAAACGAATGATATCGATTCTACGTCCCTAGTGAATGTTGAAATTTATTTAACACTAAGACGCATTCCCTATAGGGGAATGTTTATTTATTACATTACAGTTACGAAATAATGGAAATATATTGAAATGAATGGTTCTTTTAAAAAGAAATAGGTAAGACTGTGTGTATACTGGTAAAGTTGGACTAAATGTGTCTTTTTTTATTTAATGTGACTATAAAAAAAAATATCTTTTTAAATTGTTATTAACTATTGAAATAAAACGGTAGAAAAGTGTTTTATAATCATCGGTGATAACGGAGATTTAAATTATATATTTACTAGGATTAAAATGTTAAAATCTCAAAACTAACAATTTAGATTAATTGTTATTTAAAAAATAATATACCTACAAAAATTAAATATATTTTAAAATGAATTAAGACTGGCCGACAAGATGAAGTAGATTTATAATATTTAAGTATTTAAATTCAAATAATTTAAACATCATAAATTTTAAAATCATCCGTCCCGCGTTCTTAATTTAAATAATTTATCATGTATTTATAACCAGATTTAGTGTCGTAATAAGCAATTTTTTATTTCACAAAGAGTAATGTGACGAAATTAGATAATATGGACCAATACAGGAGTGACTATTGATTGTAAAAAATAATAATTAAAATCGATTCAGTATTGGTGTTGCACGCAAACTAATAAAGATGAATTGACAACCTGTTTGTTTTTTGAAAATAGCCGAGACTCTAGAGACTCATGAACATTATTACAGAAAGAATATACACATATATAAGGAGGAGAAAAACGAATACTAGAACAGTAATTATGTCAAACAGATTAAGGAAAATGTTGGAGACATGTCGTGTCAAGATGTAAAGTTTTCGTTGGAAATTGGAGTAATTGGAAAGAGCTTCGCTTACCAGAGCGCGCTCTTAAATTGTTAGTGAATGAAGTTATAAAAGTTCTGGTTACCAGATACTCAATAATTAATGTCCAATTCATAAACATTTCATAACAAAAGATTAATTTTAGATCGAATAGATTTATTACCGTTCATATTTAATTCAGTGACACACAAAGGACGTAAAGAATATAACATTTTTTTTAAGTAATATTAGATTTTTCTAAGAAACAATAACAATATTATTGTTACGCTACGTGACATGTTATAGTAATATAATATTCACACCGCGAGTTATAATAACGGGTTATTATAAAGTACTCTGAGTACCTACCTACTACGCAGTTTCAATTTCCTACGTTAAATATGATAATAATATGTTTGAATTTCGAATGTTGTTCACTTTTGTTTGTTTTTACTGTACCAAAAAGGCACAAAGGAACCCTTATGGCACGACTTTGCCCGACCGTCCGCAGTCGGCCTGTTTTATATGTCTGGAACTACTAGTGTTATCAATTTGAAATTTGATATAGTTTTACATATTGTTTGCTTGCATATACTGAAATAGAAATAATTGAAAAATATTTTTATTTTTGCTATAGGGTGCAAAAGTGGTATTCTAAATTTCATTATGGAATTCACAGTATTAGTGAGGAGGTTCATTTTTATATTTTTAATTGTTTTTATATAAATAAAAATGGCAATCAAGATGACAGTTCACCTCACGAAAAGTGGTAATCGTAGCCTATAGACATGAGCAGTGCCATTAAATATAACATAACAGTTTTTTTTATACAACTTAGAATGGCAAACAAGCTGACGGCCCACCTGATGGAAAGTGGTAACCGTCGCCTATAGACATGAGCAGTACCATGGACATAACAGAGTATACTGTTTCGCCCATGATACTCCCCATGCGTTGCCATACCTGAGGACTCAGGTGTTATTCCTCTGTACCGAGTACATTCACGCCGAAATTAAAATTTTTCATCTTCAATGATACAAATATATAATATATATTGATATAATATATTAACTTTATATGCTTACTAGTATATTTTTTATTGTCTCGCCTAGTACGTTGCACAACTGCTGTGGATTATACCCTCTGGTTCATAATTTCTAATATTAGGTTGTCCATTCAAATAAGTTTCAACTTTAGTTAGCGTTTATTACTACTTTAATCAAGCCAAAGTTTGTGAACGAGCTAACTCACAAATTTACAGTGTTGTGTTACTCCCAAATGAGATAAATCTACATATTGTAATTCAAAATAACTGATAGATTTTCCAACTGAAGTAGCACTCGAGATATATTTCATGATTTAACTACCTTTATACTTAGGTTATAATAATAAAGCGTTTCCATACAAATGTTTCGCTAGAAACATGCTACTTTTTTTCTATCTATGCTGTGTAAATGGAGTTGCCATAATGTACATTTATTACTACTAATAAGAAACTAAACGCCGCGTAGTCTTAGCAAGGAATGGGACACTCCTTCCTTTTCTGTGAGTGTCATAAGAGGTGATTAAGGGAAGGCGAGGGATGGGGAGCAGCGCCCCTCCTAAAATAGCTCCAAAGACTAACTGCGGTTGCCAATCCACCTGCCAAACATGGTAGCAAAATCCCCAGAGGAGGAAGCTTATGTTTAGCAGTTAAAGGCTGGTATGATGATGACGATGAGAGAGGACATGTTGTACACGCATGGGAAAGGAAGGGCTGGCCTATTCTATACTGGGATCATACGGCAGAAATTGACATGTGGGGACATATAAATTTTTAAACATTTCCTATGTACAGATATGGTCTAGTTACGATTTTAATATATTACTAAGACAAGATTTCTATTAAAATAAATATTATATTTGCTCACGATTGTTACTCCAAATGGAGTAGGAAGTAGCATTAGTCAATTGTTATCACAGTGGTGAACTCAGCACTCAGCTTGCCTATATTTGACCGAACAAATTTGAATCTAATGTCTCAGGGGAGATGATAATTTATCATTGTCTCGATTTAAGA